TTTGTAGAACATCAGTGTAGAACATCAGCCTGTAGAACATCAGTGTAGAACATCAGCCTGTAGAACATCAGTCTGTAGAACATCAGTGTAGAACATCAGTCTGTAGAACATCAGTTTGTAGAACATCAGCCTGTAGAACATCAGCCTGTAGAACATCAGCCTGTAGAACATCAGCCTGTAGAACATCAGCCTGTAGAACATCAGTCTGTAGAACATCAGTGTAGAACATCAGCCTGTAGAACATCAGTCTGTAGAACATCAGTGTAGAACATCAGTCTGTAGAACATCAGTTTGTAGAACATCAGCCTGTAGAACATCAGCCTGTAGAACATCAGCCTGTAGAAACATCAGCCTGTAGAAACATCAGTGTAGAACATCAGCCTGTAGAACATCAGTCTGTAGAACATCAAACCTGTGTAGAACATCAGTCTGTAGAACATCAGTGTAGAACATCAGTCTGTAGAACATCAGCCTGTAGAACATCAGTTTTTGTAGAACATCAGCCTGTAGAAACATCAGCCTGTAGAACATCAGCCTGTAGAACATCAGCCTGTAGAACATCAGCTGTAGAACATCAGCCTGTAGAACATCAGCCTGTAGAACATCAGCCTGTAAACATCAGCCTGAGAACATCAGTGTAGAACATCAGCCTGTAGAACATCAGTCTGTAGAACATCAGTGTAGAACATCAGTCTGTAGAACATCAGTGTAGAACATCAGTCTGTAGAACATCAGCCTGTAGAACATCAGTTTGTAGAACATCAGCCTGTAGAACATCAGTGTAGAACATCAGCCTGTAGAACATCAGCCTGTAGAACATCAGTGTAGAACATCAGTCTGTAGAACATCAGCCTGTAGAACATCAGCCTGTAGAACATCAGTTTGTAGAACATCAGCCTGTAGAACATCAGCCTGTAGAACATCAGCCTGTAGAACATCAGCCTGTAGAACATCAGTCTGTAGAACATCAGTGTAGAACATCAGCCTGTAGAACATCAGTCTGTAGAACATCAGTCTGTATAACATCAGTCTGTAGAACATCAGCCTGTAGAACATCAGTCTGTAGAACATCAGCCTGTAGAACATCAGCCTGTAGAACATCAGCCTGTAGAACATCAGTCTGTAGAACATCAGTTTGTAGAACATCAGCCTGTAGAACATCAGTCTGTAGAACATCAGTGTAGAACATCAGTCTGTAGAACATCAGTGTAGAACATCAGCCTGTAGAACATCAGCCTGTAGAACATCAGTCTGTAGAACATCAGCCTGTAGAACATCAGTCTGTAGAACATCAGTTTGTAGAACATCAGCCTGTAGAACATCAGTCTGTAGAACATCAGTGTAGAACATCAGTCTGTAGAACATCAGTCTGTAAGAACATCAGTCTGTAGAACATCAGCCTGTAGAACATCAGCCTGTAGAACATCAGCCTGTAGAACATCAGTCTGTAGAACATCAGTGTAGAACATCAGCCTGTAGAACATCAGTCTGTAGAACATCAGCCTGTAGAACATCAGCCTGTAGAACATCAGTCTGTAGAACATCAGCCTGTAGAACATCAGCCTGTAGAACATCAGCCTGTAGAACATCAGCCTGTAGAACATCAGCCTGTAGAACATCAGTCTGTAGAACATCAGTGTAGAACATCAGCCTGTAGAACATCAGTCTGTAGAACATCAGCCTGTAGAACATCAGTGTAGAACATCAGTCTGTAGAACATCAGCCTGTAGAACATCAGCCTGTAGAACATCAGCCTGTAGAACATCAGCCTGTAGAACATCAGCCTGTAGAACATCAGTCTGTAGAACATCAGCCTGTAGAACATCAGTCTGTAGAACATCAGCCTGTAGAACATCAGCCTGTAGAACATCAGTCTGTAGAACATCAGTGTAGAACATCAGTCTGTAGAACATCAGTCTGTAGAACATCAGTGTAGAACATCAGCCTGTAGAACATCAGTGTAGAACATCAGCCTGTAGAACATCAGTCTGTAGAACATCAGTGTAGAACATCAGTCTGTAGAACATCAGCCTGTAGAACATCAGTCTGTAGAACATCAGTGTATAGAACATCAGCCTGTAGAACATCAGCCTGTAGAACATCAGCCTGTAGAACATCAGTGTAGAACATCAGTCTGTAGAACATCAGTCTGTAGAACATCAGTCTGTAGAACATCAGTCTGTAGAACATCAGCCTGTAGAACATCAGTGTAGAACATCAGCCTGTAGAACATCAGTGTAGAACATCAGCCTGTAGAACATCAGTGTAGAACATCAGCCTGTAGAACATCAGTCTGTAGAACATCAGTCTGTAGAACATCAGTGTAGAACATCAGTCTGTAGAACATCAGTCTGTAGAACATCAGTCTGTAGAACATCAGTGTAGAACATCAGCCTGTAGAACATCAGCCTGTAGAACATCAGCCTGTAGAACATCAGTGTAGAACATCAGTCTGTAGAACATCAGTGTAGAACATCAGTCTGTAGAACATCAGTCTGTAGAACATCAGCCTGTAGAACATCAGCCTGTAGAACATCAGTGTAGAACATCAGTCTGTAGAACATCAGTGTAGAACATCAGCCTGTAGAACATCAGCCTGTAGAACATCAGCCTGTAGAACATCAGTGTAGAACATCAGCCTGTAGAACATCAGCCTGTAGAACATCAGCCTGTAGAACATCAGCCTGTAGAACATCAGTCTGTAGAACATCAGCCTGTAGAACATCAGTCTGTAGAACATCAGTCTGTAGAACATCAGCCTGTAGAACATCAGCCTGTAGAACATCAGCCTGTAGAACATCAGCCTGTAGAACATCAGTCTGTAGAACATCAGTGTAGAACATCAGTCTGTAGAACATCAGTGTAGAACATCAGCCTGTAGAACATCAGCCTGTAGAACATCAGTGTAGAACATCAGTCTGTAGAACATCAGTGTAGAACATCAGCCTGTAGAACATCAGTGTAGAACATCAGTCTGTAGAACATCAGTCTGTAGAACATCAGTCTGTAGAACATCAGCCTGTAGAACATCAGCCTGTAGAACATCAGTGTAGAACATCAGCCTGTAGAACATCAGCCTGTAGAACATCAGTGTAGAACATCAGTCTGTAGAACATCAGTGTAGAACATCAGTCTGTAGAACATCAGCCTGTAGAACATCAGTCTGTAGAACATCAGTCTGTAGAACATCAGCCTGTAGAACATCAGCCTGTAGAACATCAGTCTGTAGAACATCAGCCTGTAGAACATCAGTCTGTAGAACATCAGTCTGTAGAACATCAGTGTAGAACATCAGCCTGTAGAACATCAGTCTGTAGAACATCAGTCTGTAGAACATCAGTGTAGAACATCAGCCTGTAGAACATCAGTGTAGAACATCAGTCTGTAGAACATCAGTGTAGAACATCAGTCTGTAGAACATCAGTCTGTAGAACATCAGCCTGTAGAACATCAGTGTAGAACATCAGCCTGTAGAACATCAGCCTGTAGAACATCAGTCTGTAGAACATCAGTCTGTAGAACATCAGCCTGTAGAACATCAGTCTGTAGAACATCAGCCTGTAGAACATCAGTCTGTAGAACATCAGCCTGTAGAACATCAGCCTGTAGAACATCAGTCTGTAGAACATCAGCCTGTAGAACATCAGTCTGTAGAACATCAGCCTGTAGAACATCAGCCTGTAGAACATCAGCCTGTAGAACATCAGTCTGTAGAACATCAGCCTGTAGAACATCAGCCTGTAGAACATCAGCCTGTAGAACATCAGCCTGTAGAACATCAGCCTGTAGAACATCAGCCTGTAGAACATCAGTCTGTAGAACATCAGTCTGTAGAACATCAGTCTGTAGAACATCAGTCTGTAGAACATCAGTCTGTAGAACATCAGTCTGTAGAACATCAGTCTGTAGAACATCAGCCTGTAGAACATCAGCCTGTAGAACATCAGTCTGTAGAACATCAGCCTGTAGAACATCAGTGTAGAACATCAGCCTGTAGAACATCAGTGTAGAACATCAGCCTGTAGAACATCAGCCTGTAGAACATCAGCCTGTAGAACATCAGCCTGTAGAACATCAGCCTGTAGAACATCAGTCTGTAGAACATCAGCCTGTAGAACATCAGTCTGTAGAACATCAGCCTGTAGAACATCAGCCTGTAGAACATCAGCCTGTAGAACATCAGCCTGTAGAACATCAGCCTGTAGAACATCAGCCTGTAGAACATCAGTCTGTAGAACATCAGCCTGTAGAACATCAGTCTGTAGAACATCAGCCTGTAGAACATCAGTCTGTAGAACATCAGCCTGTAGAACATCAGCCTGTAGAACATCAGCCTGTAGAACATCAGCCTGTAGAACATCAGCCTGTAGAACATCAGCCTGTAGAACATCAGCCTGTAGAACATCAGCCTGTAGAACATCAGCCTGTAGAACATCAGCCTGTAGAACATCAGCCTGTAGAACATCAGCCTGTAGAACATCAGCCTGTAGAACATCAGTCTGTAGAACATCAGTCTGTAGAACATCAGCCTGTAGAACATCAGCTCAGATTTGATCGATGTAGCCATGTAGCTTAGTCTGGGACAGTCCATTGTCCCTGTCAACAAACTGGGTAATACAATGAATAACACACTGCGGTGTCTGTATTGGGAAAGTACTCCAAGATGATCAGATTCAGCTGAGAGGATGCTGTTATTAAGTCAAATTCTGGCTAATATTAACAACTAAAATAAAGACATAGTTCATAGTTTTCTGTGGTTAAACCCTAGCAATCGAGTCATGAGCCTTTTCTGTGATGTTTAGCCTTCACACTCGGTAACATGCTTTGGCAACACTGTTATCTGAAACTACCATGCCAATAAAGCCCCTTTGAATTGAGTAATGGAAAGAGATTTTTGAATAAATGAAATGAGCCGGCCCTAATCCTCACCACTTTATTTACGGCCATGCTGTCATTAAATTCATATTTTCAAACAATTCTGCTTTACCTTACATTTCTAGCTTGTCATCAGGACTAATGGAGGCAACGGGAGTTTGTGAGCTCGATGTGGCGACCAGAAGAATAGTGGGGGGCAGCGACTCTCCCCCCGACCTGGACAGCCCATGTCAGGTAAGCACTATTGCCCTCTGCTTTATGAGCGGTCTTCTTCTCTCTTTTTGTTCATGCCCTTGATGATACTGTCAAGTAACAGTTTTGTTTGAAATATCCTGTACATTGCACTGGATTAGATGCAATTGTTTCTCTAAAAATAGCTTGTCATTTTTTAGCACCGTTGCTCTTTCAATACATGGGTTTGGCTATTCACTCCAAAACCATCCTTTTTTACAAATGGTTTTTTTGTTCATCAAAAACCTACAGTTAAGTACTTAAACATTTAAAATACAAATGTGTAATCATTTAAAAGAAAACAAATCAGATATATCAATACTTGTCAGTTTTGATGCTCCATTCAACCAACAGAATGTTACTGAGGAGGTGATTGGTCGTCCACCAATATTTAGGTCGGTGGTTTGATCCCCAGCCCCTTCAGGCGACATGTCGATGAATCCATGATCGAGATACTTAATGCCATATTGCTCAGAGGGCAGGGCCAACAGTGTGTGAATGTGAGTCTCTCTGAGGAGGGGCACCTTGTTTGGCAGCCCCTGCCTTTTTACAACTGTGTGAGCTATATATTGCTGCTTCGTGATCGTGTGCGTGTGATCAGGAGGAGGTGGCGGCAGCGTTTGGTTTGGGCCTGTGCTGTGCTGAGGAGGAGAGGGGGGAGACTCCAGGCAGAGAGGACAGCCCCAGCGACCTGGGAGAGACGGAGCTGGACCCCGGGGGAGACCTGAAGAGCGGGGAGGACAAGGCGTTTGGTAGGAACACTGCAGTGTGTGGGACACTTTGAGAAATGCACCTTGAGTCACACATGTGATGGCAAGTAGATTATAGAGAGTGGACTTTGTCTTAGTATAATAGTATATGTATATATTTTTTTTTATTTAAATATATACAATTCACATACTACATACTAAAACAGACCCACAATACTCACTGGAATTAATGTATCACTTAATAATACAAAGCTTAGTTAAATACTCAATTCTGATTGGTTAATGTGGACTTTCAGAAGTCTGCCCTTTATCAAAAGCAGGCTGTTACTGAGGAAGCTCTAAGCAAAGGGACCAAGTGCACTCATATCAATCCACAGAAAGAAGTCCAGTCAATTTAACCAAACGCTTATAGCTTTCCTCCATCAGAAAACTAAATGAATTCATTTGAATATTCATCTCTATATTTGTGGACGGCATAATCTTTGCATTCATGAGGGCTAAAGTGTCCCCAGTAAAGAGGAGAGAAGAAGGCGACAGACTGTGGCAATGTTTAAAGACAGAAAAGAACATGTGAACAGTCTACTTGGACAGTCGCCGCAGTTTCAGCCGTTGCTCTACAGTCGAAAGGACCTTTATTTCCAAGCGTAAGCAAAACATTCATTTGTATTGCTTGCACTTGGATATTTGTATTGTGGACATGTTGCTGGTTTATATAGCTGTCTAGTAAACTGGATGAGACTCAGTGGGCTGGTCATTAATGGGAAGAGAACCCCTTCGGGCCCCCCCTTGGTGTTGGGATCCTAGTCCCCCCGTCAGGGTTACTGCACATTAGTGACCGGCTCGCTGCATTATCCCTTACACAGCCATTACTTTAACACTCAGACTATATATCTACAATACAAGAATATACTACTGTATTATTGAGATATTTGTAGACAGTTTGGAGGAAAACATATTGCTGCAGTATTTACATAAATGATTATTATTATATGTATTCATCATATGAAAGCTATTCTCTATTTATTGCTGATTTAGCAGTTGTCTTACAGCATCCAGAAATGTAAGCGGGCGTTCGGCCAGTGTCCAGACCTTTTCACTCGTTGATGTTGCAGCTCATATTGAGATTGAATGAGATGTCTCCAGGGCTGCGCAGGCTAAACCTCCGCTTCATTCAGCTTGTGTGTTTTTGGTGTGCGTTGCAGGGAAGGAGGTTGTTCTTCTGATGCAGGCCCTGAATTCCCTCGCCACTCCTGAGGAGAAACTAGCTGCTTTGTGCAAGAAGTATGCAGACCTGGTGAGCTGAAGATGTGCATTTGAACAGGGTATCTAATATTCCAACAATATCAGGTTCTTCAGAGTACATCGTCCTGTACTAAGAATGAAAGACCGCTCTGCAGCTTTTAAATTGACATATTTCTCTGGTGATAAAGTTTTGTTGAAGTTCACTAGCCTTCTTTGCTTACCACTAATGAGACACAACGGTTAAACAATGAAATAGTTCAGTGTATTTATTTCCTTAGTACATAACAATTCTTTCATCAAGAGGGTGTTTTTAGGGGTTTAAATGAGCTTTTTGGGTTTCTACTAGAAACTATTTCAAAGAAAAAGACCAAAAAGAGAATGTTGGTACTACTGTGTGTATTGATGTGTTCACCTCAGTCCGGGGAAGCCCGTGGTGCTCTTATTATTTGCAGAGCAATTCCCTGCTCTTTAGCAAAGGTGGTTTCATTCTTTTCTAATGGGCCTGACAGGAAGGTGGGCACATGTACAGACTGGGGGTTGTATTTCACCTTTGATGGGTTGGTAGGCAGCACTCCTGATAACCACATGTATACGCACAGAATATGTGAGTTTTTTTATAATGATGCAATCCTTTTGATGTTCCCTGTGTTCAGTTGGAGGAGAGCCGCTGCCAGCAGAAGCGTCTTAAAGTGGTGCAGAAGAAACAGTCTCAGATAGTGAAGGAGAAGATCCACCTGCAGGGGGAGCACAGCAAGGCCATCCTGGCCCGCAGCAAGCTGGAGAGCCTCTGCAGGGAGCTGCAGAGGCACAACAAGACCCTGAAGGTAGCCTGCTGCCATCTTCTGTCTACACTGCGCTCCAATAGGCTAGCATAGTGATGCGGTTCATTGAAGTAGTGAAGGAGAATTCAACAGGACTTTGGAAAAGACAACCAAAGTGCTGGGCAGATCCGACTGTACTGACATGGGGGATGTAGTTATGAAGCTCTCGCAGATGGTACTGATGTTGAAACTACAATATGTTCATAAATGGACTACTAAAAGCACATTTGGATACGTTGTCCCGTGTGTTCTTATCGCCGTGTCTCATGCAGGCCTTATAAACATGGACAGCAATACATCTATATTATTACATTAGGTTAAAGGTTGGAATGTAAGTTCCAAGTTATGCAATACATCTACTACTGTTCAGATCAGTCCCATTCAAACATGGTAAATAAAACAAATAGCTTCAGGAACCCCACCCAACTCAGTAAACGCTGTCCTCATTTTACAGTTATTATCCTCACGTTCATTGTTCACCTCTTGCTTAAACGTAGAGTTTCTAAAAGAGATTTGTTTAAATGTCAGGAAGCTGAAGATGTGTTTATCCAGGCTGCAGCCAAACAGAGTTTACTGCTCACATGCAGGAGGAAGCACTGCAGGAATGTGGTGTTTGTTCAATGGTATGGAGGATCCTTGAATCTCAAACCTCAAAGTGGCTTTACAGAGACAGTGAAAAGAAAAGATATCTCATCCCAATCCAATACCATGTCCCTTCACTCTCTGTCCCCTGCAGGACGAGAACGCCCAGCGGTCCAGGGAGTATGAGGAGCAGAGGAAGGAGGCCATGCTGCACTTCCAGATGACGCTGAGCGACATCGAGGTGCAGATGGAGCAGCACAGCTCCCACAACACCAAGCTGAGGCAGGAGAACATGGATTTGGCTGAGAAGCTGAAAAAGCTCATCGAGCAGTATGAGCTCAGAGAAGAGGTACGAGTGCTACTCCTGCCTCTAAAACAGCTCAGTCTCAATGTGGAGCCTCTTCTCTGCTAACTTTAGGCGCGTTCACACCGCAGTACTTTTCCCACTTTAGTTCCGAAATGTTGCGTTCACACCAAAAAGAGCCGGAACTCAAATGAGAGCAGGGACTTTCGTGGGAGGAAAAGGTTCCTATGTCTGATTGGCTGGGCGGATTGCAAACCACGCCCCGTATAACTCCAAAAAGATTTTGTGAAGCTGCCATTTTATTATCCTCGCATTAGCATTATTAGCATTAGCCCAGCGCAGAAACGCAGAGAGACTAACTTATGGCAACACAAAAGAAAACATGGGAGCGGTGGAGCGGTGGAGATGAGGAGGTGTCGGCGTTTTGAACTTAGTTCATGAGAACTAAAGAGTTCTCATGAACCTTCGTGGGAAAAGTGCTGCGGTGTGAAAGCGCCTTTTGAGTTGGTTTACATGTGGAATTTAATTCAAAGCAGAAATTAAAATATGCTTAAACATGTCGGCCATTACACTAAACCACAGGGCAAGAAGACAATCAGTGTTCGAATTACCCATTTGCTTTCGGGGGAGCCCTATTTCTTTATTTTTTTGGCAATCATAGGCAGACCTGAAAGATGTTTCCTGCATTAGATCAGCATTGATTGCCAATAGGCCTACCTTGTTTGGTAGGACATCTTTTTTCTCATCTCCGAAATCTCAATCTCTTTTTCGTGTGCCTGGCTCTTAGTGCTTATAAATCTTTTCCGCAGGTTATTCTGTTGATCACTGCTGACTTCTCCCTGAATCCATTCTGGTGAAAGGTGCACTCAGGTGGATTTGTTTGCGAGCGGCAGGGAGATCAATACACTTTTTGCCTCTTTGCAAATCTCACATCCACATTTTTTTGAAAAACCATGGATACCTTTCATTCCACTCACTCCATATGTTCTGTGTCCAGTTAAAAGGCAGGTCATGGGCATCGTCAGGTTCCCTAGCGCAGGTGGCGCCGGCGGCTGTGGCCGTTGTTGAAGCCTCTTCAGGCTCCGCATCGGCAGGCCTCTCCCTCGGTGTGGAGCTGTCAAACTCGACCCTAACGCCGCTTACAGCCGGCCAACTAAAAGTTGTTCCGTTCACGTTGTCATTTTTAGACTCCTGCGCTTCTTTGCTTGTGAATCCAAAAGCTGAGAGGCTTGGCTGTTTTCGTTTCGCCATATTTTTTATTACAAAGCCAGAGTTACAAAAATACCAGTATGAAAATATCAAATTGCACGCCAGCATCGCCTGCCGTAACCATAGCAACGTAAGTAGCGTAAAAAATGCAGCGCCGCCACGTACAGATGGCAACACCCAGAAATATTCATAAATATAAAACAAATATTCAGAAACTGTAATGAACAATGACTATTATTTATTTCAAGAACTTTTATTTACAGAAACTCAACATTTCTAATCTGTGTGACACAAATATGCACGATTCTTTTGGGCCCCCCCTATTTATCTCAAAGTCGGCCTTCAGGGGAGCCCCCCCCCTCTTCGGGGGAGCCAAGCTCCCCCTGGCTCCCCCCCATTTCGAACAGTGAAGACAAATAGAAAGAAAAGTAAATCAGGAGCACATATTCTTAAGAGTTAGGGCTGGGGTTTGTGTATCTGTATAAATAGCTAAAAGATAAACTGGAGACATTTACATTTTGAATAATTCCCCCCCGACAGCACATAGACAAGGTGTTCAAACACAAGGAGCTGCAGCAGCAGCTGATGGACGCCAAGCTGCAGAGAATCACGGAGATGATGAGAGAGGTGGAGGACAAGCAGCAGAGGGAGAGAGACTTTGTGAGTTCTTCTGTTTCTCTTCTCGTTCTGAGGCTGCATCCTTCATAGCAAATACATAGCAGGTAGCTTCAATCACTGGTGTCACAAAGTATTTAGGATCATGAACTGACTGTGCTGTAATGCTTCAGCTGCTGCAAGACGCCACAGAGTCCAGACGCAAGTGTGAGCTGATGAAGGAGCAGGAAACCCAGCTCAAACAACAGGTACACCCACACCCACACACACACACACACACACCACGTACAGGGGGAATATCCTGGTGTGAACCCAGCTCAAAGTCTGACATGTGTCCTTTCTGCTCTCCTCTCTTAGCTCTCCCTGTACATGGACAAGTTTGAGGAGTTTCAGAGCACTCTGGCTAAAAGCAACGAAGTGTTCACCACCTTCAGACAAGAGATGGAGAAGGTGACACACTTCCTGTTGGCTAGAGTTTGGGTCCTGCTGCTTTCACAGCTGTTAACTGTATGGCTTTCTCTCCAGATGACCAAGAAGATCAAGAAACTGGAGAAGGAGACGACACAGTGGAGGACCAAATGGGAGAGCAACAACCAGGCTCTGCTGCAGATGGCTGAGGAGGTGACTCATCACGCTCTCTGATTTGGGTTGAGTGGGAGTAGTAAGGACAACGAAAAGATACCAATGATTGGGAAATATCTCAGGCTGTGTGAGAGTGAGATTAGAGGCTGCAGATCAGTCACATCTCTGAGTTAGGGACAGAACCAGGGTCAGCCTAGCATCAAGCAGCGGGGAACCGGCTAGCCTGGCTCTGTCCAAACAAGTGTTACAACACTTCTCAAGCTCACTGATTATCATGTTCTATCCAATAGGTCTAATCTTTCACACACACAGACACACACACACACACACAGACACAGAGACACACACACACACACACACACACAGACACAGAGACACACACACACACACACACACACAGACACACACACACAGACACACACACACAGACACACACAGACACACAGACACACACACACACACACACACACACACACACAGACACACAGACACACACACACAGACACACACAGACACACACACACACACACACACACACAGACACACACAGACACACACAGACACACACAGACACACACACACACACACACACACACACCACACAGACACACACACACACAGACACACACACACAGACACACACAGACACACACACACAGACACACACACACACACCACAGACACAACACACCACACACACAACACACAAACACACACACACACACACAGACACACACAGAACACACACACACAGACACACACACACACAGACACACACACACAGACACACACACACACACACAGACACACACACACAGACACACACACACACACAGACACACACACACAGACACACACACACACAGACACACACAGACACACACAGACACACACACACACACAGACACACACACACACACACACACACAACACACACAGACACACACACAGACACACACACACACACACACAGACACACACACACACACACACACACACACACACACACGTAAGATGATTGTATTAGGGAGAGTGATGTGCTAGAACACATCTGCTTAGCCAACGGTCAAAAAGAGAGCCAATAAGAATATTTCTAACCTCTTCTTCAAATGAAAGAAATGACTCTTTTTCAATGAATCCAGAATCATTGCTTCTAATTAAACTAATGTGTTGGGTTCACTCATATTCTCCCCTTTTCTCTAGAAAAGGGAATTGTGTGTATAATGGAAATATGAACCTTTCTCGATGTCCTCTTTTCCAACTTGTCTAAACTAATATCTGAACAGGTGAGGCTCCACCTGCTAGCTTCTACTCCTCTAGATAGAGCTGTGACACCGTGGCCTCACACTAAGCGTGTTGAAGCTGCTGTTTGATGCCCTGTGTGATGGACATGCTGTTGTGTTGTAGAAAACTCTGCGTGACGGACACTTCAAAGCGCTGCAGGGGAAGCTGGAGCTGCTGGAGCGGCTGTGCAGAGCGCTGCAGAAGGAGAGGAACGACCTGAACAACCAGCTGAGCCTCCTGCAGGAGACCCCCAAGACCACGCAGACCCCCGAGACCCCCGAAGCCCTGCCACGGGAGCCCTTCGTCTGTGAGGAGGCTGACGAGGAAGAGGGGGGGGGGGGAGGGGGAGGCACAGGGGCTGGAGACGGAGGGCATCCACGAGGCTCCCAGATCCCCTGAAGTGGACCCCACACCGGCTGCTACTCACACAACCACTGCTGCTGCTCCACCCAGCAGCCAGCCTGCACAGCCCCCCTCCCCCCAGGACTGACCCGCCTTTAGGCCTGTGTGTAGGTGAGGGGTTGGGCCTGTAAAGCAAATTCATGGGGTTAGATTTATTTTTCTTTATTTTATTTGTATTCTAGACTCTCCTGGTTTCCCCATATATATTTAGTTGGCTAGTTAAATGATTGTAAAACAAATGTTTTGTCATAAGGGAAGATGTAGGCTAACATGGGATGTGGGGAACTCAAACGAATGATACAGAAGAAGACATGTTGTTGTTGTTGTTGTTGTTGTGATGCCCACTGAAGAAACAACTAAAGCAATATAAAGAGATTTTTGTGATGGAAGAAACTCATTTGATTTCCATATGGTCAGCTCAGCAGGCTGTACAGAAAGGTGCCATCATGTGTCCTCTGGCAGGTCAAATACAGTTGATCATGTTTGATCCCCTACCCTATACATCACAAAGCAGCTCCTCTATCTGATAACCTCTTACCGGCTCCATCTCCATTGAGAATCACTCTTTTCTTGTGGATAGAATGATCCAGGAATGTGGCCATTTGTTCCTCTTCATGATATCATACACCTCCATTTCAATGTGTGGTTTCCTAACCTTCTCCTTTGGAGTTGTAGTCAGTGAGAATCAGGTTTTTGCTCCTCACCATAATCTTCCTTAAACGAGAACAAAGGCATAAGTCACTGTGTAGTTTGCTCTGAGCCTTGCAGTCCCATTGATTATTATCTGACCCCCCCACCCCTACTTTCCCCCCATGTGTGGATTTCAAAACCAAGGTGGTTTGTGTAATTAGTGTTGGTGTAGGATGGGGGAAGACTTTTCAGTCCAATTGAATCATTTGCTCTTGCGTTGCCGCAGACTGACTCAGGTAATGTCAGAATCTACCTCTGCAGGTGAGGCTGAAGGGGAGGACGAGTCACCACAACTTTGGAGAGCTCTATTTCTGTTGGGGGACAAAAAGAGATTTGCCCACACCCCCTCTTTGATTGTACAATGTTCTTAAAGTCCTGTCTTGATTTTCAATAAACTTTTTGTAGAATTTGCAAAAACGTTGGATTTATTTCCTGAATATTTATTTCCTGGATGTCAGTTAGGCACATGGGAGTTCCCATATGCATTTACAGCCACGGTAAAGAAGGGTTCATTTCACAACATTAAAGGTGGGGCAGGTCATTTGAGAAACCAGCTCCAGTGCGCTAGAATTTGAAAATACACAGCCGGAACAAATCTGCCACTTCCTCACAGAGCCCCTCCTCCAACGCACACATGACCAATGAGGGCACGAGATAAGTTTGTGCCCAGATGGAAGGCTGACAGGCAGGTAGGCCATCCAGTTACTTTAGCCGGCTCAGATGATTGGTCGTGCTTTTTACAGCGCCACGGCTTCCACAGATGAAATTGTTGTATGGATTTTTTGTCAAAGCACTTCAGATATTCATTGCTATCGGGACGTTAAGAGCATTCCATGGAATATAACAAGTGTTTCTGAAATAAATGACATACCTCACCTTTAAAGAAACTCAAAATTCACATAAATGAGAAACTTCTCTTTGAAAAGTTATAAAAGTTTTATTGCAATTTGTGGTGCATGAAACAAAGAACAATTTCACATTATGTAACAACAAAGAGGAAAAGCAAAAATATGTCCGTTTCCCTCAAGTGCACTAATTGAGTCCCACAGCCTTCACCCTACCAAACTGAGGAGCCTATGTACCCTGTGAAGAGGAACACAGCCTCTTCTTCAAAGAACAGCCACTTAAGAAGATGATGGAAGAGGAATAACAGCTATACGTGGGGAAATCAGGTTGGTTTTTAACGGGTTTCACTCTGGACAGATGTGGTCCGTTTCAGTTCAGTCTTCTACTGTCCAGGTTTCAGAACATATCTGTGTCTTAAGGGCAGCCTACTAGCTAGAGATGTTCTTGATTTCATGTTGTTTTTGCACGAGCCCAATAGGACGATCCGACCTTAACAACAGGGGCTTCAGCTCCCTGAACTGTGGAGGCACTAGCAGCTCCCTGAACTGTGGAGGCACTAGCAGCTCCCTGAACTGTGGAGGCACTAGCAGCTCCCTGAACTGTGGAGGCACTAGCAGCTCCCTGAACTGTGGAGGCACTAGCAGCTCCCTGAACTGTGGAGGCACTAGCAGCTCCACAGGCAGAACCTCCTCCTGCTGTTCACGGCTGCAGAGCCACAGTCCAGGCTGTGTCTAACTCTATACTTTGTTCATTTAGAGCGGAGGGAGTACATTTGAAGTCAGAGAGGGAAACGACGGGCTGGGTGTGGAGCTCAGGGAATGGAAGGTGGGGGGGGCTTGATGGAGGGAGACCAATGCCAAGCTGGGTTATGATCCCTGAGCCTCCAGCTCTGAAGCGGGGGTGTTGTCTGGCTCCTCATCGTTGTAGATGTTCTCGGCCTGGAGAGGAGAAGAGAGGGAGGACACACATTAATGCACACATCTGACAGTGTTCAATAAGAGAAACCTCAGAACCCCTGACCCTACCTGTGGAGGGGTTCAGTGATGGTTAGCATCATCAGGGCTCCCACCACAAAAAGCTATGAGAGCTTGGAGTATTGCAGAATGTAATCTGTGGCAAACAAACTGTTGTTGCTTTTAACACAAAAGCTTCACCATCCATCAGTGGGGTATTTATCAGACTCGGGAGTACTCGAGTCCTGCACGCGGACTCGCGCACATTAACGACCCGACACAGAGATATAGTCTCGAGCAGCTGTGAGGCGAGTTCCCATACCACGCGCCCCCATTATTCTCAGTCTAAAGATGTGCAGAGAAACACCCCCGACTCGGACTCTCCTTGGGTGACTTGGACTCGAGCACAGGGAATGAGGACTGACTCGACTACAACACTAGGGTTAACAATCAGGAAGCTGAAGTGTGAACGGCGGCTGTATTCACCATCTGCCAGACTTGCATGATGTTGTCCTCGGACACAGAGCAGATCACCCAGGGTTCATTGGGGTTCCAGGTGAAGTCAGAGATCTTGGCCGTGTGGCCCCCGTGGATGAACTGATGGAGGAAAGGAGGAAATTAGAGGTAAACAGGCAAGTGGGACTGTGACCTGTCCAAACCCAACACACCTCATGTGATCATGAGCATATCAAAGACATTATCATCGTCACCTCACACTCTGCTGTGTGTGTTCAAAAGTCATTTCAGAGCACCACTCACCAACAGCTCGGGGGGGCCGTCCTCAGCATCTTCTGCCGACTGCTCCTCTCCGATTTTACTAGATGAAAGAAAAGTGATCAAAAGGTGTAATTGACACAACAGCATGTATAGCACGTAAAGTGTTCCTTTTCCTCTTTAACATCAGAGCGTTGGTCGCCATTAGGGCTGCACGATATCAGAAAAAATTGACATTGCGATTTTTTTCCCCTTGCGATATGAAAACATACAGGAATTGAAGAAAAGACAGTTGTTTTTCTTCCGCAAACCATCCTTTCCTGAACTTTAATGCTATACAATTGGTATTTTTTTAACTATATTTAACCGGATGAAGGATTTTAGTCACGGACGCCTGGATCTGAAGTTATCAGAGCAACGAGCTGAGCTAGCTCGGTTAGCAGCGCCAGACTGCCCTGGAGAAACACATGAAACTACTTTATTCAGTGTTTCTACCTTTAATCACGGGGTCCCTTCGCTCTGGAGATTTGATGGTGGTTTGCTGTGCATGCAGAGCCTGCATGTCACTCACTCAAGTCCCCCTGATACGAGAGCCGTGCAAGTTTTCCTTTTGTAGCAAGCAGCAAAAATAATTGTAACATGACGTGTTTGAGTTCATTTGCCTTCTTAATAATCATTACAAAAAAAGACATTTCTTTTTTTCTTTAATCGCACGTCCACGCGATTATCGTCACGACACGATATATTGTGCAGCGCTAGTCACCATTATTAAAAGCTATTTGTTGTTGTATTAAGCTATTGAGCATATCATTACAGCCATATGTTAACAACTTGAATACCCTGCAGTATTAACCCTGTGCTCTATGTTATCTAAAGTAAACATTAGCATCAGCATGCATGTGATGTTAGGAAACAGACAAGTCAGAATTAGAGGTAGACTGATGCATGAGAAATCAGCTGGGGGGCTCAAATAGTGACATTGCTAAATTGAATACAGAAATGGCCGCTTCATTTTGAGTGTCCATTAGAAACTTCAGAGCATTGACTGCTCTTTTCCTGCGTTAAATGCCCTACTCATGGTCAGAAAGCTGTCGGGGAAAGAATGAAGCATCCATGATCAGCATGTAGCTCCGCCAGAGAGCAGAGTGCTTATGCTTATTGAATATTCTGTTCAAACTGTCCACAACAATTGCATGTACATTTAAAGAAATGGATTATGGGTATGTTTTTACCTGAGGTCCCAGACGTTGAGGCGTCGGTCGGTGCCACTGGAGGCCAGGATGGTCTCGTTGTGAGGAGACCATTGTACCTGAGGGGGGGACACTCAGTCACTGCACCTCAGTGTGATGGGGGTGTACATGCATGGACGCTTTGTAAAAACTCACAAAACCGTTTCAAACTATTAACACTTTGGGATTGTGTTCCATAAATGAAAGCATTCACACAAACGGGGGTCTGCTTGTTTGGGGTCAGAAGCACCGTTTCTGTGGACTGCCACAGACCTCTGTCCATCAGACGGGTATCAGACTGTTCTGGTATCAAAAGATAAAGCCTAACGGTAAATGTACAGCGCGCTTGTGTCAACAAAATGAAGTACATGATATCTTAGCGTTAGACTTCCTCTCAGCACCATGGAGCCGCTAGTTCTCGTGCTCACTAGCTGGCAGGATTGCATTTACATTGTTATCCACAGCACAAGCTGGAGCACGTTTCCAATCCCTGACTTTGGTGTGTTGTGATTTAGACTATGACTATGAATTGACAGCTTATCATAACCCAACATAGTTGTGTTTTCTATATTAATGACACCTTCTTTCTAACAAATAAAAAACATTTTGAAGCTTTGAAGTTCTTACCTGGAAGATTTCATCTTTGTGGGACTCGAAGGAGTGGAGCTTCAGTTTGAGGTTCCTCAGATCCCACAGTGCCACAGTCTGAAATACAAAACAAGCTTAGCATGAAATATGTATTCAACTTATTTGAGTTCAGAGTCCATAGTTTTCTCCTGTACCTTATCAGCGGAGCCAGTAGCCAGGATGAACTCGCTGTAGGGGTTGAAGCTCAGACAGTTGACCTCAGCAGTGTGAGCGTCCACTGCGTGGCTGGCTTTGGACGTGGTGCTGGACCGAGTGTCCCATCTGGTGCAGGGTTCAAGAGTCAGAGGCAGCAGCACAAAACCATGAACTCAAACTTTGAGCAGAACCAGACCACAAAGTGCACATTCAGCATTCACACTTACATCATGAGTTTCTGGTCGTCAGCCACAGAGCCAAACAGGGATTCGTGGAGCAGGTGCCAGGAGACATCCTCCACCACGGCTGTGTGACCGGTGAAGATGGTCTTGGCGTCCACGATCTTCCCTTCCTTTGTGCCCGCCCCTATGTCCCAGAGACAGATGGTCTGCAGAGTAACAAAATGGGGATCAGTCACTTCTTTTACCCCTTTTACCACTGTTCATACCAACATCCGTCATCGCAACTTACACTAAAGAGTGGGCTGATAGAATCCCTGCTAAACAAGTGGTTTTCAATTCTGATAGTCTCATATTCCCAGTGGCATGGCTGCGTTTCAACAGGCTGGCAATTATAGCAGGTCATGTCAACTTGTAACAGCTGATCCAGATTGGTGGGAGACGTGTTCGCTGAGTGAGTTCAGAGAGTTGTAAATGGTACAGCTTCAGCCCCTCACTGTGCCTAACCTTACAGCACTAAACAGGTGTACTCGTGTCACTGTTTCACTATTAGTAACACTGTTTCTATCTTCCTCTTCAAAAAGTGCCATCTGAACAATAGAGCTAGTATTGGTCAATTCAACAGATGAACAGAATGTGAAGGGGCTACAGTTCTGATGACATATGAAATCACTCCTGAAATGAGCATGCTTAGCAGCTCGTCCTGTGGCACCACGAGCTCCTCTAGAAGCCACAGTGAGTCACTGTAGAGCACATTTCTCTCTGTCCAGAAGATGAAGAATCACAATCAAGTTCATTGCCAGGTATGTTTACACATTTAGGTATTTACACACAAATGTAAATATACAAAGAACCTTAAAAGTAACACAACAACTAAAACACTTAGGGCAATGAATATATGGCAACATGTGGAAACTAAAGTGAATGATGTGAAGTGGAGCTGTGTGTCAATAACGCAGCTGTCAAGTTACATTTGGTTTATTGGATTGAATGAAGTAACAGAAACAAGGAGGTCTAGGATGAAGGCAGGCTCCTTCCCTTTGAGTCCATAAGGCTTCAAACATTTGGATGAATACAGCAAAGGCTAAAACACAGCCAAGACGAGGAAAATAACCACGTATATTTACTTGAGTACAGTGCTTTAGTATAGTATTGAAGTACTTTACTTGAGTGCTTCCATTTGTTGTGTGCGTAATAGGGCTGCACAGTGAATTGGAATGAAGTTATGGCACGGAACAGTGCAACATCCAAATGGTACTTCTGGTAGCCTAAACGGGATGCGTCTAAGGGGGTTCTTTCTGGAACAGCCTCTTCTCTGCACTAAAGAACCAGGGCTAAAAAGGCATCTTTCAGTTGTACACTCACATGGTCATCAGAGGCACTGAGTAGGTTGCCGCTGAGGTTTGGGTTCCAGGAAAGGCCGTACCCTTCTTTCTGGTGACCTTTCAGCCTTAAGTCAGGACTGCACTCCCCACTGGGATCTGAAGCGCACAAAGCAAGACTGTGTTTACCTTCAGGGTGTGTGATTACCTGGAGTCATGTGCATCAGTATACGAGCACAACAGGGATCTCACCTGGCTTAGCTGGGTGCTTATTGTAGTCGAACACCAGCACGTCAGAGGTGGGGGTCTTGGTGGCGATGATGCAGTGATTCTGTGGCATGTAGCGCGCTCTGTTCACCTCCCCCTCGTGGTTGATCTTGATTTCAATCTCAATCTTCCCACTTACAGAACCAAAGCCACCGAATTCTGATAAGAGATCCAAACAGACTTTAGCACACCCGAAGCAGGTTCATTGACACCAGTTGGTCAGTTAGTTCATGTTAGTGGGGGCTGATCTTTTATTAGCTCGTACATGATCAATAATTGCTATGACGTGGAGCCTGGTCTCGACATCTTTCAGGATTCTAGCCTCACTGCTTTCTCTCCTGTTCTCTCTTTTTGATGTGTGCCTATATGTCTCTCGGTTTTATTCACAAGTGTAACCAAATCTGCCGGGAAACAGTTCATTAGTCAACCATTTTGAATGGTTTTTCTAAGCCACATGCTTGTCAATATTATACAGGCCACTATCTCAAATAAAAACCTTTTGCCTTTGTATGATGCACATTAGCAACTGCCATATTGGTATTGGCCACAACAAACAAACAAACAATGAGTTGTTTTGGGCCATTAAATCCCAGTTAAAGTATCTCTGTATTTTGCTGGCAGAGTAAGTTTTTAAGTGCTACTGAGGCCAGTAGACTTCACTACAAGGAACGACATGCTTGCCAAAATCTGTATTTCCAGCTGACAGAAACCCGATATGTGTAATTGTGCCATCATCAGAGGTGGTTTTTGGGCAAAGCTTAGGGCAGCGGTGCTCAGGCACCATTTGAAAGCTGGCCTTGAAATGAAAAAGGAGAGACTCCCAAACAAAGAAAAAAGATTATACCCCTTTATTTTGAAATATATGCTAGACCGGTTTTGTGTGTAAGGAAATGTAAACTGTACCTTAAGATTATTCGGAAGCCAGACTAACATACTAACACTTCCACCAACAGAGCAGTGAGCCTTCAGTCACCCCCCCCCCCCCCCAACAGCAGGGCACCCATCAACATACCTGCTGGAAGACAGAATAACAGAGTCAGCACAAACCATTGAATGAAACATTATTACTTCCCTCACTTCATCAAAGATCTGAGCTACACAGTGCTCAAACCAGTTCCTGGGAAACGCATGAGGCCTAACACACAGTGTGTGTTTTGAGTCAATCATTGAATGTAAATACTAATATAACATTGTCCATTTGTATATGACAAATGCACACCTACACTCTTGACCTGGTTATTAGTTTAACAAGCAGCTATTCAGATGTGACTCCTGGTGTAACTACCTCCTTTTTCGCTGTCGTAGTGCGAGGCATCAAACTGGGCGTCATCGTTTGGTACCTGCACACTGGCAATCACAAGGTGGTTCTGCTCATCTGATGTGTGGGTCCCCAGAACCAGCCTGTGAACGGCGTAGTCCTTCCCCTCGGGCCTGCAGAGAGCCAAGCAGAAGAGGCTTTAGATCTGTACTTTGTAACAAAGATAGCTTCCCTTTCAGTTCAACATGAGAGGCTTTTCATTTGAACACCATTCAAATGTGATACTTTAAAGTTCTCACAGACAAGCCTGGACTGTTACAGAGTTCCGATAGTAAAAGGAAAATATTGCAATTTTAATAAAAATGTCAATATGGGTTGTGTCTGTCCAACTCCTGACCAGATGTTGACTTTGATGCACAGTTGTGTTGTTAGCGAACCCAGGAGAGGACCACCAGAACTGGATGTTGAAGGAAAACATCCAAAAGGAGAACCCGTAGCTCCATAACCATGTCGAGTTATGCAGGTGCAGAGCCACTCAGCTAGGACAGCGGGCCGGAGGACACAGGCCATAATAAGTAGATTGACACGACACTCGTTGACACTGCTGTTAGTGTTCAAACCACGTCTCAGGATCAGTATGATTGGGGAAAATGTAAATACCTGGTGACATCTGGGAGCCACTGGACGGTAAGACTAGGCCACTCCAGCGCATGGGTCATCACCAGGTCGTACAGGAAGGGTGTGTTTTTCTTCCAGATCTTGTACTCTTCATTGATGACCCTTTCTTCCACTGCATCGTCATACACTAATAGAACAACATGGTATGAGAGTCAGGTACAGCAAACAGAGGCAACTAGTGTGTATTTATAATCAGGAGATTGATGTGCTGTGTATTAAGCACACACAGGCTAGGGTTACATAGTATGAGCATGCTGGTGCTGGTGGAGAAACGAGGTTCAGTCCGGGAGATGCGCAGGGGATACAGGCTATGGTTACATCAGGGTCTATTTAAAACTATTCAAGCTATCTTAATTACATGTTAACGCTGATATGTGACAGAAGTTTGATAACAACGTCAATACAAAATAGCTGATAGGGTGGTTACTCTATATTGTTAACCATTTTCCCGTCATAACTTTTACAGCTCGCTACCACCCACTGACGTCACGGTGTGTGTAGGTGGGGGGGCTGGGGCAGCGTCACAACATGCACACACTTTCAATGCAATTCATTCCTGTCTGGGCCATTGGAATGAATTAACAGAGCATATTACTGACATGACCTTATTTTTAAAACACACAACCGAAAACAGCACACAGACATGCTCAAAGCATCGACACTCCTGCTGATAGGGCTTCACTAAGCTAGCATATGATGCTAGCACCCATAGCAGTGTTAAACGGCCGTGTCGCTAACACAAAGCGGTGCACGAGGAAAACGGGCCACCATATGTAATTCTAGTAAACCTACCCTCTTTATCCGCCATGTTCTACCCTCTGCACTTTGTCACGATGCTCGAAAGCAAAGGAACTAAGTAGACGCTGTTTTAGTGGACACTCCTGTTCCCCTAGCTAATACTGCTTTGGTTGTACACCACTACAAAAGTAGGCTCCTTCCTTTTCAGCGCCGAATATCTCTGTAACTATTACGCATGCGTCAACGTGCGAGTGCCAACGAGGGACAATGCTGCGCGCGGACTGCGCATGGGGAAAGGGTGCTGCGCAGACAGGTTCACGCCTCCTCTGAAAATATACTCAACTTCTGGCCATTGCTATTTGATCACAAGAGTTTAAGGGCAACAGCACTCGGACCGATGGCATGAAGTGAGGGGGCCAATGTACCCGCTTCGCCCACTTTTCTCAGACTTGATCTCAACTACACACCTGTACAGTTTTGTGAATGCAATGCATCTTAAAAGGATATGACAATATCACAGTCACAAAATCTTCTTCTTTGCAATTTGAAAGTAGTCAATTAATAAAAAATAAATTGGCATAGTGATTCATAACTTATACCTAATATACAGTATGAGTATTACTGATATAAAGTATATTATGGGTATATGATGCACAATAGATGACACTATATCTCCAGTCATGTATGTGAAATAAAATGCTAATATTTGGTGAGAAATCAGAAGTGAATCAGACATCAGCGACCATGCTAATTTTAGCATTGTAACTGGATGCATGGTAACCACATGGTAACGTAACTGTGGCCTTAGCTCAAACTTAAAGTGGACCTATCATGCTATATTTGAATAATATATTGTAGGGCCATACCTATATAAAACATGTCTGCGAATTTTTTCAAAATACCAAACAGATCCTGCATTTTAGCCATGCCTCATTTCACTCTATTTGCTCTTTTTTAGCCCTGGGTTGCGGTCCAATAGTCCATTTAGCTTAGGAACCTTCCTAACGGAGTGAAATGACCCGGAAGTCTCTCAGTGGCAGCCATGATAAGTGCCGTTCCAATTCTCCAAATGAAAGGAAAGAAGGTTTCAAACTTCCTTTATAACCTCCTTTAGCTTAGGAACCACTGGACCTCCCTAACCGAAAGGAGAGGAGAAAATGCTGCCCCACAATGCATTGCAGCCGCTGCATTTGCCATCACAACAGTCGGCCGTTCACGGAAACAACCGATTATGACCGAGAAATGATATCATGAAAGTTACGGTGCTTATTAAGCATTTTAAAACGTATGTGGTAAGTTGCCAAAGTGCTTTGTTCTGAACGTTCATCAGTATTATAATCAAAAAGAGAAATATGAACGTTAGTTTTTACTGAAATGATCAAATAAAGTCAACATCTCACAGTCTTTACTGAGCTGTGTGGAGTTTGTTCAACTTTTAAAAGATGTTTGAATGGTGATATACACAGTGATAGATGTTAAGGACTAATGTTTATAATAAATACATTTGTATTGATTTTAAGATCTTTTCATAGTTCATACAATCATACGTATTGGGATCATTTGTATTAATGTGGACCGGAGGGAGAGGGTGAAGAGCATAAGTTTCACTTTCCTTTTTTATTTCAATTCCAACTTTGGTCATGAAGAATATGTTTCTCTGTTGTCCCCGTTCATAAAGCATAAAGCAACAGCATCAGAGCACGGTGCAGAGTCTCTAGATGAGTTTACAGTAGTCCCTCGTTCTTATTAAACATCCATGTTGTAGTCCGCTGTATAGAAAACTGTAGTTTCCATAGTTTCCCCACAGCAGCAGACGCACATTCAGGACGTCCGCTGGCGCATCATAAACACGTTGGATAGTGAAAGTGCAGTCGGATTCTCTAAAGTACCGCAGTCTCTTCTCCTAAGTCCTTTTGAATTCTCCTATCCACTATCCCTTAACCCCGTGACGTTTCACTCAGAGGTCAAGGAATACGAGATAGGGTTAGAATTTAGGAGCTGATTTTTGGATTATTGGAACGCAACCCTGTTTTTGCAAGGGCTGAATCTGAGAAGCTGCTTTTGTGGCAGACTACAGCGCCACTTACAAGCCTGGCATATTTACTACAACGTCTCCAGCGCTTTCGAACGGCAATGGCTGTGGCTGTCTCCTCCTGATAGGTGGAGAGTTGCCCATATAGGCGGAGCTCCTCGTTCCTGACGTCGGAGAATTTTCAAATCTGGATCAGTCTGTATTAGATCCGTTGCAGCCCCGTTTTTAGAGATTTGGGTATGGAGGAAAAGAGAGAGGGTTGTGTTTTCTGACACTTGGTGAATTCCCTGACACACCGGGGACACATGTTCATGTATAAAATACGTAGGCCTACAAAGGTGCATTTTGCATGATAGGTCCCCTTTAAGGTGAGCTACACAGCAACGCAGTGTTTTTCAACCTCCCTTGAAAATGTTTATACTTGTGTCCCCCAAGTGGTAGGACCTTATGGCACTTTTCCACTGCAGGGCCTCACACGGCTTAGTACGGTATGGTTAGGCCTTGGTAGGCCAGGCTCACTTTATGAGGCGTTTCCATTACAGTTTAGTTACTGGGGTAGTAACTATAGTAACGCAGTGTAGGCGGGGCGATCGGCTGTTCGGCGGGCGGAGCGATGCTGCGTAAAACTGCTGTGACGTCATCTTCAATGCGAACCACAAAACCAAAACATCAGCCGTTAGCTGTTAGCCCTCAGAGCTCACAGCTCCTCATATCTGTTCAGAAACTAGACAAAAGCCAAACAAGTACAAACCGCAGACTGTCTGTGTCATGGCGAATACAGCTGGTTTATTTATGTCTGTAGGCCGTTGTTGTGAGTGTGGATGGTCGGAGCATACTGTTAGCTTAGCCTGATCGATCCGATCTCCACACACGCATTTTAAAAGGTTTTTCGCCTGCCGTCTGTCTGCAGACTTGTCAAAGCATTAATTCATGGTTTTTACTAACCGGTATCAGTATGTTGTTACTTCGGCATCATGTTGAAACGTATTACAATTAAATCACGGTAAAATATGTTCATTTTGTTGTAGTTGTAGCCACCCCCCCCTTGCCAGCGATTCTCTCTGACCAATCAGCAGTCGAGTGTTTACGTCACTAGTTTAGCATATTCAGCCCGGTTGTTGGCCCGGTAAGAACCTCGATTTTGGAGGGCCAGAAAAAAGGTGAAAAAGTACCCGTTAGCCGGAACTACCCCTAGTGGAAACGCAACAAAAAGCCGTGCTACGCGCTGCAGTGGAAAAACGCCATTAGAAAGGAACAAACTTTTAGTTTTGTAGTGGGAAATAACCACGAAAGCCTCATTATGATCCCAATGAGTTTATTTTATAAAAATTCCATCATAAACAGCAAAAACAGTTTATAGTTAATAACACATTTTGAAAACGCAAAACATGTTCCAAATATAAGCATTAAAGGATATAAAGGAAATGAAAGAAGCATGAGTTTACACACAGAATGGTCCTCATCACAAAATAAGTAGGTCTTTATCTCATGACAACAGAAGCAAAATAAAGGCAACTGGCACAGAGTTAAAAGACACAGTAGTATAGTGTGATCTTAAATCAATGACAGTAAACCTGCACAGAGACGATGATATCTGGGGATTGAAAAGGCGTTTAAACTAGGAAACAATGAACACGTTCCTATGACAATCATCTAGAGTACAGTAGAGCATGCCACTATAAAAGCTTTGAAATATACAGTGATCTATTCCACAGATACACAGAAGAACAGATGTATTACTACAACAAAAGTAAATAGACAGATACATCTGAGATACGATGTGTAACCCAGTTGTGCACAACACTTGATACATGTATCTGTATTTCCATTATTTCCATTAATCCTTTTCTGGTTACATAAAAGAGTAACATATATGGTGATGAATAATGTTTGACAGTTATTAAATAATCCATTAGTCCCTCCCATAATTACCTAATATAAAAAAGCTATCTCAAGCTACAACTACAGTGATCAGTACACTGAAATACCCAACATATATCATAGATGGTAAGAGAGTATATAAATACAGTATGTAGAACCTATCAAATGATTTTCTACACATTGACAGACGTAATCAGTCGTGCAGTACAGATATGAAGTATGATTACTGGTGGATGGCTATCTACACTGTGAGATCAGTTCAGGGGGAACACGGCCATGGTTTCATCGGGCCTTATGTGACATGTTGTATAACCATTGTATTACATCCTGTCACATACAGAGTGAATGCACTGATACTGTATTTCCATTGTGACTATTCCATTGTTTCACTAACTACTTTAAGTGACCTTCTGAGCACATGTGATAAGTCTTGCTCAAACGATAATTTATGAAGCATGATTCTCTGCCACTGACATGAGTTCTGTTCTGGGTCAGTGCTTGGCCAATTTGGTTCATATTTGCTTCAACTTTTGGACAAGTTATGAACAATTTTTCTTTCAACTGACCATAGGCCTGTCGTCATCACGTCCCCTATTACGCTTGAATAATAACAACCATGTCAGACTGCATTAGAGCTGTGCTCATATTACTGCTATATTTCTGAACACCAGCCAGCTGCTGGCATTAGGAAAACCCTATCGGACTGTCTCACCAGTAACGTCCCCTTCTGTCCCCATAAATGTTATTTTCAGTTTTATTTGACAATGTTTGGCAACATAGAGGATTGTATAATGTGAAGTTTCTCTTGTATGTCAAACTCAAGGCCCGCGGGCCAAATCCAGCCCTTGGTGGTTTAATTTCGGCCCGCAGGATCATTTCTAATTACTATTAGATCTGGCCCGCCGGTATATTGCACGCACACCTTCACTCCATCCTGAGGGTCTCCTCAGCTCAGAGCCTGACCCCAAACATTGATGACCTTGCACCCAAGATGAGATGCCAAGTATCTGAACTAGCATCACAGAGCAGCACACTGACTTTACATGGATGTTTCTTTTTTGCACTTTTTCTCTCATGACAGCAGGGCATGTTTGTTTTGTTCTTTGAGGGAAATGGTTTTGTTGAAGCTGTTGTTGGCCTGTGGAGAAATCTAATCGTAAGAAATGACTCTGGAAAAGCTGCAGATAGTTGCATTCATAAGAAATGAATGCAACTGATTATTTAATGTTGTTTTTATAGGCAATCATTGAAGCTTTGTTCCAGGTTTAATATGTGCAATAAGTTCATTTCAATAAGTTTTGCAATAAACATTGAACCAGTCCGGCCCTCCACTAGTACCCATTTTATTATTTTGGCCCACTGTGTATTTGAGTTTGACACCCCATAATGTTAGCCTAGCCATTGAAGCTATCTGAAAATTTAATTACAAAATGTAGAGCCAACATACATAACACAACTTAACAACTTTCTACTGTCGCCATGAGCTGCCCCAGACTCCAACCTATGCAGCTCTTGGATCTTGCCGAGCAAATAGTCGCTGCTTAAGTTGAACCAATTTTTGGGGCCGAGAACAACGAAAACTATTTTGCAATTGGTCACTGGATCCGACCCGGCCCTGGCTCACTGGAAAAGGGGTATCAGGAAACTATTGTATTATATATCTCAATCGAGTTTTCCAGTGAAGCAACAGATTTAGGTTAACTATTGCTGTTATTAAAAAGGGGAAAGGAAGCCAACCACCCAACAATGACTTCCCACGGTTAGATACTGTAAGGGGCATACCCACAATTTCAAACAATGATATTCTGATTGGGCTACAAAGTCTGAGCCTGGTAGAGAAAAGGCTCTATATCTGCTGCCAATAAAACACAAAATAGTTCAAGTTATGTACTTATGCCCCTTTAAATATAATATTTTCCACATGTTGTTAACAATATCTTATAATGAAATAGTTGCTGGATAAAAGTGATTACAATTCCTAATCAGTGTATTTCCGAGAGGTGAGAAAGGCTTTGCTTTGATTTCTGACACAGCCCTTAGCATGAAGCCCAGTTATTCCCAGGCATCCTTAGGATGACTGACACCAGTGGCAGTGTTTATGGATGTTTCATCCAATCACTTACAGGAGGGTCAGCCGGGAGTTGGAGGTGACCATGGCACACAGTAGATGGTGCTGATCAAAAATCAGGTTGTAGATTCACGTACAAAGTATGGTTTCTCCTTCAGGCTTTCTTCCCTTAATGTTCTTCTAGGAGCAGCTGGTTCAGGGAGATATTAGAATTAAGAAACACAGTAAGGAGGACAAACAACAGAAGCATTTCAAATACTACGGAATACTAATAAAAACATAAAAAAGGTATCTGTAGATAATTGTTTTTAGGATAAAGCACAGTAGTAACTACACTTGTAGATCAATAGTAACAAATTGTTATGTTCTTAATAAATCATCACTTAATGTTGATACGGGGGGCAAACAGGTGTTTCAGACATTCAGTCACAGGTGCAGTGATTTCAAGTACGGAATAAAAATCACTTCAGTTCAGAAAATGTGAATGCCACTCAAACAGTTGAAGCGAGGGGTTATAGAAGATCCTTTCAGTATTCATCTTGATTAGGACTCATGCCTTGCTTAACCTAGTTTTGTCTTGGTCTGTGAAGCATAGCACAAATGAGCGAGCATTATTATATTGCTAATATTCTTTTTACCTTTGTAGATTTTTCAGGTATCTGTACTTTACTTATGTATTTATTTTTCTGATGACTTTTTACATTAGTATACACCAGGAAAACAAAAGGAATCAGAAAGGTTGCTTTATTCTGTCAATGAACAGCTAAGTATCATAATGACTTTGTATGTCCCTGTGGAAATATGCATCTCCCTACATTTTAACATTAAAAAACAGGCTCGTTACTTTCGTTTTAATGCATGTGAGGTGAATTACGAATTATTTTTGCATCATTGCGGGCCTTCCCCGACATCAAGACTGTAACGCTAGTACAGTCAGCGACAGGACTGAAAATGAAGATAACATCGACAGAGGCGATTCATCAGACCACCAGCAAGACATCCCGCATCCATGGCCTTACTTAAGGAAGAGGTTTGAAGTTGTGGGTGCAAAAAATGCACTATAATCATTTTAGTTTGATTTGTTTAGGCCTATATTAAGGCAAAGGAACCCATCTACAATGTTGGCTACAGCAAATACAGGTACTTTGTTTTTGTTGTTCACACTGAATACATTCAGAATGGCAGTAATACAAGTATATTAATATGATGTAAGGTTCAGTTCGTTTTGCACAAAAACAGCCAGTTTAAAAGTTACTTTTTACTGTGAGTACATTTCAGAGACTGTACTTTTACCTAAATAAAATATTGAATCAGCACTTCTACTTTTAGCAAAGTATTTTTTTACACAAGTATCTGTACTTCTACTTAAGTAAAGAGTGTGTACTTTTGTACTTTTACTTAAGTAAAAAGTTGAATCAGTACTTCTACCAAAGTATTTTTTTACACAAGTATCTATACTTCTACTTAAATGGACTCGATCTTGACCTGATGTTGTCCTGTCGTGTTTTTCACATGTAAACCAGGGGTACCCAACAGGTCGATCGCAACTGACCGATTGGGTTCCCCCGATGTAAACAGTATCTGGTAACTATTAGTGTAGTGCAGTAAAAACTCCAATAAATGTTCCAAAATGTAGGAAGCAGGAGTATAAAGTAGCATTAAATGGAAATACTCAAGTAAAGTACAAGTATGACAAAATAGTACTTAAGTACAGTACTTCAGTAAATCAACTTAGTTAATTCAACCACTGCCCTATATTCTGGATCTGTAGTATTACATTTGCTGCTTCAACCCTAAATCAATCAGGGCTACATTCTGTAGGATTGGTACTTGAAATGCGGCTGTGACAGTGTGCAGTGTTGATCATTTGTAGAGTGGCAAAAAGTGTTTTTTTTACATTTGTACTTTGCAGAGAAATGTAGACACAAGTTCAGTCAGAGTGTATTGTACTGTCTGTACACCATGTATTATCTACAACTCTACATGTGTACATTATACAGTACATACATACTACATACATACTGTTAGAAATTAAAATCAATGTTGATATGGCGTAATTTTGAATTAAATACACTATTTAATTTAAATCAGTTTTATTCTGAAAAAACCGGAAGTTCACACTATTAACTTAATACTTTTATTCTGAAAATTCTGCACTTCCGGTTAGCATTAGCATGTGGCGAAATGCTACGTTTTCAAACCGTGAATCGAAGGTGAAATGACATGTGATGTTGTACACTGAGCGCACTGGGATTAGCACTCATTTATTGACGCTGAATAACGTTTATCAGGGAATGTTTAAATAACCACAGACACCAGAATATACGTAAGTGCTAGTTTTTTTGCGAGTCCAAGTACCGGTTCTCGACGTTCCGGTTTTAACCGGACTTGAACCGAAACTTTTTACAAGTCCAGTACCGGTTCGGCGTACCGGTACGCAGCACTAATGATTAGTGTGCTAAATATATAAGCTGTTGATCTCACCTTACTGTCGGTGGTGTTCTGGATGATGTCGTTGTCGGGGTCTCCTCCCTCTGAGCCGCTCTTCTGGTCCTCATCTTTCCCGTCCTTCTCCAGGTCGTCCTGTCCTGATGAGATCCGCGACAGCTTGGGGGATTTCTGCCACAGACACATAGTCAATACAGTCAATTACAATAAATACGTTTCATATAAAGTGACATATTTCACTTTTTCATGAGCAAAAAACCTTGAAAATACAGATTACAATTTATATTAAAGTCATAAAGCCTAAATGCGTCACAAGCTCAATTTTAAAATATAATAATTGTACCATTGGTCAGTGTGTACACTGTATGCAATGTATAACATTTAGTCAAAAGCAAGTAGTTATTTCCCATAGCCTTTTCAAAGTATCACTCCCCAAATGCCACCATGCCCTAAACTGTACAGGGTGATGTTTGATCCCTTTTCCATTCAAATGAGTTCTGTTCTAGTGGTGTGCTGAGGCCAGGTTGGGTTGCAGTTGGAATGAACCAGTTTGACATACAGTTTGTTTGCAATGTGTGTGTGTGTGTGTGTGTGTGTGTGTGTGTGTGTGTGTGTGTCTGGAGGGGGTGTTGAACACAACCAAATGAATGCCCCCTCTTGCATCCCCATACACCAACACAGAATCTTTTCTTAGCTGAGGAGATTCTGGTTGGTAAATATACCTCGTGTAAATGCACACGCACACACACACAAAGTTAAGATGATGTGACAGGACACACACCGTGCCACATTCCTTTGGATCCACCACGTCTGCTGTGCCTAACGGGGCCCAGTTGCTAGGCAACAGTGGTTGCTAAGGCGAGGATGCATGTGACTTTTTCAACCTGCTTCCATTTACAGCAGCAGCGGCTCTCACATTGATACAGAAACAGTGTGGCAGCGCTCTGCAGCACCACAAACCTCACGCTTTTATTTCTTTATGTATCCAATACAAAAAGGTCAAACACAGAGAACGGCTTCAAGACAGTGCGATCACCAGGGAGAGGCTGTCAACAAACATCTCTGGCTGAATGAAATGTAGATAAATGCAGAGAAGAGAAGCTACACATTAGTATACACCAGGAAAACAAAAGGAATCAGCAAGGTTGCTTTATTCTGTCAATGAACAGCTAAGTATCATAATGACTTTGTCTGTCCCTGTGGAAATATGCATCTGATATACAGTAGTCTATCAGATGCCCGTATCCAGGATTTCCTAAATACCGAGGTCCAAACATGTTCGGGGGATAACCCCCGAGATTTTCATGATCTAGTTAGGTGCTTTTTAAGTCCTGTGGGGGGTCACACATTGGATAATATATTGATTTCAAACCATGTCGGTGTCAGCATACATTATTTTTGAAAGTGTAATGCATGAGAATCAGCTGATTGTTACTATTAATGATCTGGACATGCAGAAGGACCTGCACCCTCTCTTCCATCTTCTTTAGTCTCTCTGTCTTCTTCCTGTTCATTACTCTCTCTCTCCTCTACTCTTTCTCTTTGTTCAATCTCTCCCTCGTTGTTCACTTGTTGCTCCTCCTCACTTGTCGCTCCTGCCAGTGAATCAAAAGCAATTCAGTTCATTTCACTTTTTTTATTTAAATCTGTTTTGTTTGATTCTCAAAAGAGAACAAAGATGTAAGAAAATTGTGTTTTATGCAATTGTATGTTATTATGACATCATAACTGCAATAGATGTATGTTGTTTTACAATTATAATAATAATAATGCATTTTATTTATATTGCGCTTTTCACAACTCAAAGACGCTTTACAGTATGAGGGAGGGTAGACAAACAAGGACAGGCAAACAAGTAAGTATAGTCAAATAAAAAATTTAATAAAAAGACAGTCAAGAGGAAGTTGATTGAGAGGGGGGGGGGCTTATGGGTAGACAGAGTTGAAAAGATGTGTTTTGAGGCGGGACTGAAAGACTGTGAGGGACTCAGAGTCACGGAGATCTTGGGGTAGGGAATTCCAGAGCCTAGGAGCTGCCACTGAGAAGGCTCTGTCCCCAAAGCTGCAGAGTGTGGATGTGGGAATGGATAGGAGTCCGGCTGCGGTGGATCTGAGGGACCGTGGGGGTTGATAAGGAGTGAGAAGGTTTGTGAGATAAGGGGGGGCCAGATGGTGGAGTGCTTTGTAGGTGAGGACCAGAACTTTGTAGTTGATGCGATGGGAGACAGGAAGCCAGTGGAGGTCTTTGAGGACTGGGATGATGTGATGCCATGATTTGGTATGCGTGAGGAGACGTGCAGCTGCATTTTCAACCCGTTGGAGTCTGTTGAGGGATGTAGTGCTGATGCCGTAAAGAAGTGAGTTGCAGTAGTCGAGGCGGGAGGAAATGAAGGCATGGATTAGTCGTTCGGCTGCGGGGCGGGTGAGAGAGGGTAGGATTTTTGCAATATTGCGGAGGTGGAAAAATGAGGTTTTGACTGTTTGGCGGATGTGAGGTTCGAGGGAGAGGGTGGGGTCAAAGATTACGCCAAGGATGCGTGCCTGATTGGAGGGGGAAAGAATGGTGCCATCGATGGTGAGAGTTATGTTAGTGACCTTGCTGAGGGTGGATTTGGAGCCAATTAGGAGGAGTTCTGTTTTGTTGCTGTTCAGTTTGAGGAGGTTATGTTGCATCCAAGTTGTAATAGCTGTCAGACAGGAGTCGATGTGGGTAAGGGGTGGGTCATGGAGGGATTTGGTGCTGAGGTAGATCTGAGTGTCATCAGCATAGCAGTGGAAGTCCAGGTTGGAGTGGCGGAGTAGACAGCCATATGCCATACATTTTTGCACACATTCACAGTAAATATGTATTCAGTATGATAGCTGTCTAACAGAAGTTACATCCATTTCTCACTTATTCTGACAATGTACTTAACCCCAAATAAAAGAACCCAATAAAAAGAGTTGTTAAATAATAGTGAAGTCACGTCGTAATAACAATAACTCATCTCTCTCGTGTCTTTCTTTTTGTGCTTTGCCAAAAGCCACTGTGTCAAGTGTCCTACTTGGGTTGCCATCCGGAGTTGTCAAATATGGCGGACCATCTCGCACATGCGCACTGCAGATCGGGCAGAGCTGCAGATCGGGTAGTGACATGTTGATTCATGTCATCTTCTTCTGTTTGCTTTAACCGAGGCTACGTAGTTATGCAGCGCCCCCATCGGCAGTAAATGGAAGTACTACAAAGAACCCCGTTTAGTGCAATTATTTCACAAGTATAGTTATATACACAGCTCGGAAAGAATTACAGAGGTCCGGACCTCGGTGACCTCAATGGTGGATACGGCCATGGGTAGAGGAGAAAGCTGAGCTCACTGCACTCTTATTGTTGACAAGTCCCATTGAAAGACAGGAGCAAATATTGCATTAGCTGAAGTCCTTCTCAGAGGCAGACTACTTTTGATGCTAACAGAATGCAGTGCATGTTCATGGTGATAAGGGAACATGTCACGTAGTGCAAAGATGAGGATGGGTTTGTAATCCTGCATTCAAGTGTGGTGATATGGAACAGACACGTTTCAGAGGTGTCTAGTTTTCACTCAAGTTTACTGAGTGAGACCTTTAGAGGTGCCAGTGTCAACCTGTGTGTACAAGATCACACTATAACATTTAGTCAAAAGCAAGTAGTTATTTTCCATAGTCACTTCTCCACTCCCCAGGGGCCTCATTTATAAGCGGTGCGTACGCGCAAAAGATGGCGTACGCCAGTTTCTACGCAATGTTTGTGATTTATAAAATACTAACTTGACGGGAAAACGTGCGGTCCTCCACGCAAACTCTAACCCATGCGTACGCACTAAGCACAACAACGGGAGAGATGAGAAACTGCGACACCGTTGGCAGAAGGAAGAATGGAGAGAAATATGTGGAAATAATACCATAAATAAAATGTTACCTCTCATTTATCATATATGAAGAATTCATTTTCAAACATTGATTAAAGCCAATCTTAAAATGATTAAACAAACGCCTGTTTGCGACTCCTCAGTGCACACAAACACATAACATGGAGAAATAAATAAATACGGATATTATTTAAAACCACCTGGAATATGTTGTGTTAATGTTATGAAATGTTTTCTCATAAATGATGCGGTAAGCAGGAGGACAGAATTACGTCTAAACTGACGCCGTTTTGCATTTCTATAGGTTGTAGATACGAGCATGGTTGTATATACTATCACGTTTAATCGTGTTTTATGCCGTTTGCCAATACTTGATAAGTCGCTCGTAAAACACAGGAGGTATGGAAGCTAAGAACACCATATGTGGTAAATTGTACAGCTAATATAACACAACACATTAGGTTGTATTTCCTTTAACTGGTGGATATAGAGTTGCTGCGGGGGGGGGGGGGGGGGGGGGGGGGGTGAGATGCACAGGCTGCAGTGGAGACGATGCGCACAGCTGATCGACAGCTGGAACACAAACCACCAAATAAAAAAATAAACATGAATTGACTCCACTCCGTAGGGATCCCCGATCCTTTCTTACAGTTTCTCATCAAGGGGGGGGGTCTCCTGTCCCGACACAAACACACTGACACACTGCCTGAGGAAGGTTAAGTGTATTTTGTCATTAACTTTGTTCGGACCACTTATTTATTTATGTTGGTGACGATCCGACCTCCATGCTGCTACTCTGGTTCAACCTGCATCCACCAAACAATATGATTTGTCTCCACCTCCCCAAAAGAACCAAAATCTGACATGGTGTGAGATGTCTTTTTCAGCTGTTCTGTCGTCATTTCCTGCGATCTTCTTCATGCAGTCAGTCAGAATGAATATTAATACGGGCCGTTTCTTTGACTATTTATAGGCAAATATGGGCGTTACGTGAAGCCCGCAAAAGCTGCGCCGCATTTCGAGTTGATTGTGATTTATAAAGGGAAACCGGCGTAGGACGTGCCGCACGCAAGTCCTGTCTGTGCATATTTATTTGCTTTGTCCTACGTAAGCAACCTTCCCACGTGAGGTTTTATAAATGAGGCCCCAGAGCCCTTATGGAGCCAGGTTGTGACATCACCGTTTCAGTCGCTGCAACTCCCGTGTGAATATCCTCCCAGTAACAATGATGACAGAAGACGTTGGAGCTGTGCTCATGTTGCTAATAAACGACATCTCCAACTGCATATCTTCTCCGGAGTGACGTGGATTTTAGTATGCAGCTATGATGCAGCAGCTATGATGCAGCTATGATGCAGCTATGATGCAGCAGCTATGATGCAGCTATGATGCAGCAGCTATGATGCAGCTATGATGCAGCTATGATGCAGCAGCTATGATGCCAACTTTCTAATCTCATCATGAACTGTTGCTGCTCCCCCAGCCGCTGCATTTCAACGGCTCTTGGAGACAGCTTGGCACATTTTTGATGACCTGGTTGAACTGGTTGAGGTCAGAGAGCCAGTGGATCAGGCATCTGCACTGAACCAGCACCAGAACCGCCTCATTGGAAAAGTGGTTGAGTGAGACCTTAAGAGGAGCCAGGATCAACCTGTAAAGTATCTGAGGGTATATCTTTCCAACAATGATAACAGCTTATGACCTCTATTTGTAGCGTTCTTGCCAAATCCCAAATAAGTAAAGCAGAGATCAAAGCTTCCTTCTATATTCATATGTAACCTCTTAACTGATGATATCACTTGTGATCTAGTCTCATTAGTGCACCAGTGCTGCTGTTAAACTGAGTGGTCCTCTCTCGTGTGTTCACTGCTGCAGCAGAGTACCTTAAAGGTGGCAGTCTTTTTCCGTTTGGATCCGGTCTTGTCCCCCTTCAGTTTGTCCTTGTCATCTTCCTCCTCCAAAGAGTCGCCCTCCTCACCCTCACTGCTGCCGTCAGCCACGTTCCCACCCTCTTCTGAACACTGTTGTTGGATGGACTGTGGACAAAGGAGGCACAACATTTATTTTGCAAAGCAGATCGGGCCAGTTCCAGTTACTGACACTTGATGATGGGGTTAAAGTGGCGATAGATGAATTCATATTTTAACTGAAATGCTATTAGCTTTTTTCCCTTTCATTTGTGTGTTGTGACACTTTTGCCAAGGCAACACTGCCCCCCCCCCCCCCCTGTTCTCTCCCACTGTCTTCTCTCTGGGGACACAGTGGGCTGAGTGACCTGGTATCCTGTGAACTTTACTCCGGGGTTGTTCTCGATCTCCCACAGGCCCTCGTTGAAGCCTTTCCTCTTGTTGGACTTTCCAAATTTGTCTTTGTACTCCTTGTAGGGCAGAAGATCCTTCGGGCCCAAGAATGCACTAGAGGAGGGGGGGGGGGGGGGAGAAATGTAGCACCACTACTATTACTTAAACTGTCATGAACACCACCATATGTTTCAGGAGTTACATCTGGCAAAACGTTCCAAATGAAAATATATGAAGGAAGGAAGACAGGACGGAAGGAAATAAGGAAGGACGGTATGAAGGTATGAAGGAAGGAAGGAAGGAAGGAAGGAAGGAAGGAAGGAAGGAAGGAAGGAAGGAAGGAAGGAAGGAAGGAAGGAAGGAAGGAAGGAAAGGAAGGAAGGAAGGAAGGAAGGAAGGAAGGAAGGAAGGAAGGAAGGAAGGAAGGAAGGAAGGAAGGAAGGACATTTGAAATGTCTGTATGTACAGATACTTCATCATGCAGTACACATGCTTGTTTACTGATTATTTGATACATCTGCTGATTTGTTTCCAATTAAAAAAGAGTAAGAAGTTATTATCTGGGTCACATGATAACATGTAAGGGTATATTCTTGTAATCACATGAACAAAGTCAAATAGTTAGGTCACATGCTGACAACACAGCAATATCATGGGTATGACTACTTTCTTCCAACATCAGACCTTCATCACCAATCTCTAGCTTAATCTATTACAGTCTCATATGGTGCAACACTAGACCACTCTGTGATGAGGAGTATGGCAGTAGCCTTAAATGGACTAAAGATCTAGAGGATTTCTGAACAGAAATGAGAAAAATGTAGAAAGGGGCCTACGTTTCATGGGTCCCAAAGAAGAAGATGGGGTACTTGTTGGCGGGCGGTTTGACCGCTCCTTCTGGAAGCTCATCAATCTGAGGGACAGGGAGAGACACTGTTACTGATCTCCTCGCCTTATCTGCAGTATAGGCTACATGGTGAAAATTAGTATGTTGTTGAAAGCGGTTACACATGGAGCCTGCTGTATACCATGACGTGCGCCTTTACATTGTTTGGCCATACTTTATTAGATGTCTTTAGTGTAGCCTATAGTATATGAATGGATGTATTGCAGTTGAAACGTAGTGTTGAACAGAGGAGCCACGGGTTACCTGAGGTCAACTACGGGCTCATTCCATGTGAGACAGCTAAATAAAACATGACATGTAAAAGACGTGTTGAATTTATGAGTGATGAACATGAGACATTTCGTAAAGCAGGAGCTGAACGGAGCAGGAAAATGCGCAATAAATGTACGACGCTGAAGTTGGCTTCCGATTCGGCAGTTAAGGGGAAAGTTAAGGGACATTTAATTTACAGCGCTGAGCGAACAATCCTCCGTGTTTGAACCTCTTAAATCGCTGCATAGCCGATTTATTTGGACTGGATTATCCCAGAGAGTCTAAAGATTCTTTAAAACACAGTTTGAGATTTGTGAAACCTTTATTCTATTTGTGAAATACAAACACAGGTGGAAGGCTGAGGTTGCTGCAGCAGGCCAGGATCAGAGAGTGAACCTCCCAGCTGGGCAAGCCTTTATGCCTTCTTGTATTTTCACAAATAGAATAAAGGTTTCACAAATCTGAAACTGTGTTATAAAGAATCTTTAGACCGTCTGGGATAATTCAGTCCAGATTTGATGAGTCTAGGTCTAGTGGTTTTAGATCAGGACCTGGTCTAATGTGGTCAGGATGCGAAAAAAGCACTGAAATCTCACTTGTTTGTATTTTCACAAATAGAATTAAGGTTTCATAAATCTCAAACTGGGTATAAAGAATCTTTAGACTCTCTGGGATAATCCAGTCCAGATAAATCTACTATGCAGCGATTTAAGAGGTTCAAACACGGAGGATTGTTCGCTCAGCGCTGTAAATTAAATGTCCCTTAACTTTCCCCTTAACTGCCGAATTGGATGCTGTGAATCGGAAGCCAACTTCAGCGTCGTAATAAATGTTACGTTTTATCATCATTCAAATGTTTAAGTCCACCTCGCGGAGGACAAAGCTTTTTTAACAGAAACAAACACGCATATAAATGTTGCTGTGGAGTCACCGCAGCATCCCTCCTTTACCCCCGCGAAGCGGCGGCTGTGAGTGTGATCGGACCCCGCCTCCCTGCGCTCGCAGCCCGGCCTCAGCACTCACCCTCGCCGGCCAGTGCGGGTACCCCTTCATCTTCGCGAAAACCAGTTCTCCTGCCTTGTATTCCCGCGGCCGTGGTCGAGCCATGTCGCCGGATAGAAACAGGTCTGAGGTGGATCTATAAACCTTTGCAGTTCTCCCCGGGGCCCTCAACGCAGGGATACATTATCGACCATCAGTGTTTTTAATATGAAGACTGCAGTTTACACGGAAATAAATAATAAAAAAACGCGGAAAACGGGGCCTGTGAGAGGGCTATCCTTTTACGCACAAAGGCAGGTGTAAGCGTCATCGAGAATGGTCTACGCTGGAGTAGGTACCTACCTGTAAGAAACGCAAAGTCTGTCACCTGTCTGTAGAAATCAAACTTCCGGTCATCGAAATTAAAGTAATTGTGTCTTTTATTTAACTCATATTCACTCAAATATGCTGTCTTCAACTTTCTTTTTTAAACCCAAGAATACAAAGATGAACAAGTGGCAGTGCGGACTCTGCTGGAACACCTTTTTTATTATTTAAGAAAATATACGTAGCCAATCATCAGTGGTGTAAGCACATTTACTGAAGTACTTCTACCCCGCTATAATCCAGATGTAAATAGTGTACTTGTACTCCACTACATGTATTGAATACCTTTAGTTACTTTACATATCTCGATGAATGATGTGAAATATAATCAAGTCTTAAATCAGACTTTAGTTCCACCTGGAATAAATTCAAACTTCAACCTTCAAACTAGCTGCACCTGTACTTCTACTTTAACTTAAGTACAAGATCTGAGTACTTCTCCCACCTCTGCATATCATATGTTACATACACACTCAATCCCGTTAACGCAGGGGCTCATAGGAACACAGACTGTACCGAAGTAAACAAAAAAATAAAAGGTGATACAAAAAAAAAGTCGAATACACAGTTAGTTTTTATTGCCTTCACTTGCTAATGTTTTTTTATTATTGGTGCCTATAGCTATAAAGAGACTACAACTTGCCCTTCTCCTTTCACATAAAGCCCTATGCAGAAAGTGAAAATCTTATGTGTGCTGTAATTAAACCAAAAATACGAGATGATAACTGTAATGTTCTTATTGGTTATAAATAAGACATCTTCTTGGATCTTTGGACTAGCTTTACTAGCCAACATGCAGTACCTTCACATCTTGTTCTGCTAACATATACTGCCGCCTAGTGGTAACATATATGCATTGTAACTAAGCATAAACACCTATCATTACATCCCCTTTCCAAACAGGTCAGTTTAACACATTTCTTAATTATAAAGCTTCTGGAACGTACAGTCTTCAAATGTAAACATTCAAAATGTCTAAACATACTGTAAAGAAATTATAGCAGTTTTTAACTTGCTATTTACTCTAAATAAAAGATCTATTGTTAACAAAACTTATGACACAAAGATCAAATAAATGCCAACCATGCTCTTTTCTTAAAGTCACTTATAATTGCATGTCAACAGTTTATTGTTCTATAAGTCTGTCAGGTGGTTTTCTATGTCTTGTGGATGTTCTCAGATCTGGTGCTTCAGTTACTGGGGAAGGTGAAGGAGGCTCACTATGTTGCAAGTCTGGTGTCTCCTCAACTCCCTTTTCAGACTCGGTCTCCTGACCAACTTCCTCAATGTTCTCCTGAGTCTTCAACAGACTCTTCCTGTTTCTCCGAAGCACTTGTCCATTCTCCGTTTTCACAGTGAATGACCTGGGACCCACTTCACTGAGGACAGTTGCTTTCCTGATCCACAATTCTCACAACATCCCCTTCCCGAAGAGGTTCCAGTCTCCTTGTCACTTTGTCATAGTTCATTTTCTGTTTGAGCTTGAGCTTCACTCTCTTATTGTCCAGCACCTTCTTGTCGTTGTTGTAGTGTGAAATGTGTGGTACCGTGGTGCGCAGCTTGCGACACATGAGGAGCTCAGCAGGGGATGCACCACACTCCAGCGGTGCGGCCCTGTAACTCAACAAAGCCAGGTAAGGGTCAGTTTTACCATCACTTGCCTTTTTCAGCAGCCTTTTAACAATTTGGACCCCTTTTTCAGCCTGCCCATTAGCCCGTGGATACAGTGGGCTAGAGGTAAGATGCTGAAATCCATACTGCTCCGCAAACCGTCTGAATTCCTCACTGCTGTATTGTGGACCATTGTCACTGACAACACATTGTGGGATGCCATATCTGGCGAAGAAGCCCTTCATATGTGTGACGATAGAACGTGCTGAAGTACTGGAGAGCTGTGCTACCTCAGGGTCGTTTGAATAATAGTCTATTAACAAAAGTTAGTCCTTGCCATTCAGATGGAATAGATCAGTGCCCACCTTTTGCCATGGTGCAGCTGGTAGGTCTGCAGTCAGCATTGGCTCCTTTGTTTGTTTGTAGTAGTGTCTGAGACATGTGTCACATTTTCCTATCATGCTCTCAATGTCCATGTTGATGCCTGGGCTGACTGAGCCTAAATCCCTACAACTTTGCTGAAAGGTAGAGAGTAGAGTAGATTATACACATTACACTGTTACACACCTACTATACAGTATACACTGTAGTGACTGTACAGTCAGAGTGTACTGTACTGTCTGTACACCATGTCTTTTCTACAACTCATGTGTACATTATACAGTACATACATACTACCAGTGGTGTAGTGGGCGTTGGACGCGGGGGTACGCCGTACCCCCACTTATTTGGAGCATGATCTTTTTTTAAATAATCTAATCAATATAAAATCATTGCCAGTGTTATCAGTTGCAAGAGTGTATTTGTTGTAATAATGACAAAAACATAATACATTTCACAGTAATTATAATACGAAATAAAAACGATTTCCTTAAAGAATTATGATTCGTCATCAGGCTCGCGGGACCCCGCGGCGAGCTGGGGGTGTGTCAGTGACACACCCACGTCGAACCAGCTCGCCGCCCGCCGGTTTTGCGGCAGCTCTTTCCCTCAAGAACGCTAACGAAAAAGCTCTATAATGGCAGGCAAACATTTTTTACTTGACTTCTTTTCTAAAAAGAATATAATTCACAAGAAGAAAGAGGCTAGCAGCACCGAAGCTACAAGTGAAGCTGCTACTAGCACTACATCATCAAGAGCCGCATAAAGACGTGGATAATGCTAGCACTAACGTTAACGTTAGCTGCGCTAGCAACGTTCCCCTGGCTAGCTCAAGCTCACCTTTCCCAGAGGTATGGACGGAGGAGATGTGGCGGAGGAAACAAGAGGCATGCCCGTGGATAGACTGCAAAGCTGGGAAACTGGGCTGCAAAGTTTGTTCATTTCGGATTTATCAGTCTTCAAAACACAAGGTGTGTGTGTGTGTGTGTGTGTGTGTGTGTGTGTGTGTGTGTGTGTGTGTGTGTGTGTGTGTGTGTGTGTGTGTGAAATGCAGCGCTGTCTGCTTATTTGCAATGTAGGCTTAATCAGATTAATTTCAAGTCCAGATTCATTGTTGTTTGCATAAGTAGCCTATATTTTTCGTTTCGTTTATTTAATAAGTTAATTTCAGGACAACTTTGGGAATTTTGTTTGTTTGTTATGAGTTTTAAATAGATTTTGAGAGAGAGAGGTCTGCTTAGTTGCAATACTGTAGTTTATTCAACTCAGCCGCCTATACATTGTTTATGTAATTTATGTGCCAGTGTGTCCATGGTTTTGAGTCTGTGTGTGTTGAGCGCAGCGCCGTCTGCTAACTAAAGTGGGACTAAGCATACCGGTAGTTTCTGTGGACCTGTCTGCCCGTTTTGTGAGTGCACTGCACACGTGCGCACTTGTGTGGCATTGTTTGGGATTACCTAATTAAAATAGCGTCACCCCAGTAAAAAAAATCCCCACTACACCACTGCATACTACATACATAGTGATGTACATAGGCTACATACATACAATTTTGCAATATGGCGACCAGCAGCCCACGCTGTCCACTATGTCTAAGCCAATCACATCGCTAGCTTCCCTTGACGTCACACAGATCTCGCGAGCAGTTGCGATATTTTGCGAGACTTCGTGAGTTCAGTAATGGCCGCCATATCAGAAGCCGACACAATGTTTTCCGTCTTTTCTCAGCGCAAATTTCTCGATCTATGGAAGGTTTTAGATGGTTTAGAACAAAAAGGAGAATATACGTAAGTGCTAGTTTTTTTGCGAGTCCAAGTACCGGTTCCCGACGTTCCGGTTTTAACCGGACTTGAACCAAAACTTTTTACAAGTCCAGTACCGGTTCGCAGCGCTACATGTCAACGTGTGCTTCAACATCATCACCAGCTGTGAATCTGAGACTCGTGTCAGTGCTAGGTACAGGTGCCCTAGATAAAGTATCTGCCAGTACAATGTATTTCCCTGGAGTGTATATTAACTCAAAATCATATCGCTGCAGTTTCATCATCATGCGCTGGATTCTAGGTGACATGTCATTTAGGTTTTTCTTTATGATTGAAATCAGCGGTTTGTGATCAGTCTCAGCTGTAAAGGTTGGTAAACCATAAACGTAACTGTGAAACTATCCACACCCATACACTAGACCCAGAGTCTCCTTTTCAATGTGCGCATAGCGCGTCTTAGTCTCTGTCATTGTTCGTGACGCGACAGACGCGTGTGCCACCGGCTGCCATTTGTCTCCATTTGCTTGAAGGAGAACAGCTCCCAATCCATCTTTAGATGCATCTGTAGAGATTTTTGTAGCTTTTGATGTATCAAAGGATGTAAAAACTGGCTCAGTAGTTAGAGTTTCCTTTAGTTTTTTCCATTCTTTTTCATTTGAAGCATTCCACTCAAAAACCTTGTTGTGTTGAAGCAGCGATCTGAGGCATGTTGTCTTGGAGGAGAGGTTAGGTATGAATTTACCCAGGAAGTGTATCATTCCCATAACTCGCAGGACTCCTTTCTTGTCAGTGGGAGGAGGCATGTCCAGTATTGCTTGCACTTTTGCCAGATCAGGCTCCACCCCCTCTCCTGAGATCTTGTCTCCCAAGAAGGTCATTTCTGTGACCCCAAACTGACATTTATTTCTGTTCAATTTCAGCCCATTCACTTGGACTCTCTGTTGGAGATCTCTTAGTCTTTTGTCATGTTCTTGACGTGTTTTTCCCCAGACAACCAAGTCATCTATGTACACTCTTGTGCCTTCCAGACCCTCTATTATGGACTCCATCGCCCTGTGGAAGATTTCTGGCGCTGAGATGATACCAAATGGCAACCTCAAAAAACAGTATCTCCCAAATGGTGTGTTGAAGGTGCAAAGCTTGCTGCTTTCTGGGTCCAACTTCAGCTGCCAAAACCCCTG